CGGGGGAAAAAAACTAACAATAATAGCCTACTGATAAGATAATAATAATAGTAATAATACTACGAATTCTACTAATAAGAACAATATAAAAAACACTAAGGATTAACGAGCTGCTGGATTCATGAATATTAGGGCCTTTCGCACCGCTTTAGTTCCAGAACTAAATGTAGCTAATTTGGTTCTCGAAAAAGGCAGTCCGGTACTAAAATCGCACCCAGTTCCGGCGGTGCGAAAACGCCAAAAAGTGGGTAGTTCCAGAATTAGTTCTGGTACTATGAAAAGGTTCCCGCGGTGCGAAAGGCCCTATTAATCAGGTTGTGTGCGTTTGCTCGAACTGATTCTCTGAAATCAAAACAGGGACGATAATAGGTGAGCGCCAGCCAATGAGATTGCCGTTTGCGCATTAGTTCCGCCTACTACCAGAGAACCCGGCAGTTCTTAAAAGCTGAAGAATCCAAAGGAACTCCGTTATTTTGACAGGAAAATACAAGAAAGAATATTGTTTACATGTAGTGCGTCAATTCTGCATGTTATGTACAGTTAGAATCTCTCTCTCTCTCTCTCTTTGCGTGTGTGTGAGACAAAGCGACGGTGAGTCGTGCGCCTTCACACTAGAGTTTACGGTATGCCAAATATAGGTGCGCTGCGCATCCATTGAGATGAACTGAAAAATAGCACAGATCGCTTGACGGAGAGTGAAACTTTGAAGCGAGCAGTCAGTGTGCTCGGCGAGTGAAAATACATCTGTGCTAAACTTATACTCCTTCAACTCACACACTGGCGAGTAAAATCTGAGAATTTATTACCCAGAGTGAAGATTTAGTCGCATATGCGAGTGATTTACTCGCAATGTAGAGGGTTGACCAAGTTACCATATTTGCTAAAAATTAAACCTTGATTCTTTAGATTCATCCATGAACTATCGTCCACCTTTACAGAAGTGCTTTACCTTGGCATGCAGACAGACCCAGCGGCTGTAGAGGACGTGTTTACAGAGGTGAGACGGTCTTCCGAGATCATCTTTTCCTGTGGTGGCATTAATGATCTCCAACCCCTGATCTCCGACTGTCCAGTTGACGCTGAAGTTGGGAGCTTTCCCAGGTTGCCTTGCTTCTGTGTTACTGATACCTGCAGAGGAGGGAGAAAACAGACATGGTTGGGCAAAGAGCTGAAAAAACTGATACAATCAATCATTTATTTGAGATGTTTTACCACTAAGAAGAGGTCTGTTGAGGGCGAATGGCTTGAGCAGATCGTCCATGTCGGCGATGCGCTGGTACATGGCTCTGGAAAGATGGTCGGCATGGTACAGACTTCCCAAAATTAAACTGGAGAAATAGATGGGTTCTGTAAAATAACTCAGAAGAGACCCCTGCACTCCAATTATGTTCCATCTAAGGGAGAAAGAAAACCACAGATGTTTTTAAAAAATACAGGTGTGCACCTGGTTGACGGAAAGAAACAAAGTCATTGGTTGCATGCAGTGCAAAGTATTCACCCCCTGCGGACATACAGCACGATACTTATGCCACAGTACCATGAAGGAATAAAACAACATCCTGATGTCAAAAGAGTGCACAGTCATATTTACGGCAACCATTGAAATGATCAGAAAAATAACACCTGGGATCTATAATCTCAATCACTGTGATTTATCCGAAGACTTCAGAATGATTTTTTCCAAAGGTGATGCATCAGATCTGAGCTCTCAAAAAGCCTCAGCTCACAGCTGGATGATAACGACCGCGTTTAACTGGAGTGGATTTCTTGGCATCCAATGCGAGGCATACGGATGTGTTTGCAGCAGTAGGCTTCCCTCAGCAGGACGGCTGTTTTTTGGAGACCATAATCAGAGCCCTAATCAGGGGCCCAATGCCCCTGCTCCAGGGAGCCCCCCGCTCTGGAGAGAGCTGAAGTGATTGGGGTTTCAGAGCCAAGACAGCCAATCAGCTGCTTTCTGAGTGCCATGGGATGCAGGCAACGGAATGCTAACGAGACTTGTTAAAGTTGGGGGGAGGGGGCACAAGGAAAAAAGTAAGACGGTCATAGGAAGCATTCGACATCGAGCAGATCAAGGAGAGGTGTCACCACAAAAGTGGGCCACCTGATGTCAGCAGGCTTTTTTTTTCCTCAAAAAGAATCATCAATCATTAAAGCCAAAGCTTTTCCAAAAAAAAGACAAAACGAAAAGGAAAAAAAAAGTCCGTTTTAGCTTAAAACGTGAGTAGATTTTAATCATGGTCACAGCACAAGAAAACAAACATTGACCCCTATTTACATTCAGAATTTTTGAAAAAACAAACTTGGATTTGAAAATACATTGAAATGTATCAAAAATAAATTTTTCATGTATGGAATTGAAATGGGTTACAAATGTCAACTTAAAAATATCTGCTTTAGGGCAAATTAATTTTGAGAGAGGCAATTGAGAAAACAAATATTGTATGAAAACAATATTGTTAATCATACCTGGCAATCTTGTCACTACACGACATGGTTAGCAGTCGTTCTCCCTGCAACACTCCATCCCAGGTCTGAATGGTGTTACTCGTACGAACGGGTATTGTACCTTCTCCAGACTCAATCTTGGTTCGCAGTTGTCCGCGAGCCTTGCGGTTTGGATGCCGGTCGCCCTGGTCTAGAAAGAGCGAGCTGAATTTAGTTTACTACTTTTTAAAAACTGGTCCATATTTTGTTGTGGCATACAACAACAAAATTAGCAAATCCATCCATCCGTCATAATTTACATACCCTCAACACCAGCCTCATGAGGGGAGAAGATCCGGGCGTCTCCACAGGGCGACGTGCTGATATACAGATGGAACTGAATATCGTCTTTTAGCCGGTAGCCATGTTCACTACACCATCTGAATATGGATTTCTCATGTTCCTCAGTGCTGTCGCTAAAGAGAAAACACACACACTTGTGAGATCTATGATGTCAACAGAGACCATTAAGAGGGCTTTGAAATGTCTATAATTGAAAATAGGTCCTTGGCCTGACACCCATGTCATCAAATCTGTCATTTATTATTTCACAGCAAATAAAGGTCATGTCTAATTGATTACACACACATATCCATGTCCATATCAATTCATGCTAATTGGCATCTGAGAAATTGATCCAAAAATAATCTTCCATATCCACAGGCTAGTGTGAATGATTTGTAAATTTTTAATGATTATAAAATAAAGGACGATTAGAGAGTATTGTTACCACCCAAACAATATTACATATTTTATTATTATTATTATTATAAAAATATAATTTATATATTTATTTTAATAGGTCCTTGGCCTGACACCCATGTCATCAAATCTGTCATTTATTATTTCACAGCAAATAAAGGTCATGTCTAATTGATTACACACACATATCCATGTCCATATCAATTCATGCTAATTGGCATCTGAGAAATTGATCCAAAAATAATCTTCCATATCCACAGGCTAGTGTGAATGATTTGTAAATTTTTAATGATTATAAAATAAAGGACGATTAGAGAGTATTGTTACCACCCAAACAATATTACATATTTTATTATTATTATTATTATAAAAATATAATTTATATATTTATTTTATAAATATATTTGGTTTATAATTTAATTATAATTTTAACTGCAATAAATAACATTAAACTGACAGTCGTTATATGATATACTAGCATGGCAATTATATATTAGTGTCAAATTGACATTAATGGTGTTCCTCAGGGATCTGTTCTCGGGCCTCTAGTTTTCCTCATTTACTTCCGTTAGGTCACATTATCCGTCGCCATGGTTTTAACTTAAATTTTTATGCAGATGACACACAACTAAACACCTGAAAACATATCTGATCTGGTTGTGCTTTTTGTGTTCTCTACATTCAGTGTATATGTATGCCTTTATTTCTGCTGTCATGGTGAATAATGAATGATTCTAAAGCATCCTTGAGTTTGTAGAAAGGCGCTATATAAAATAAACGTATTATTATTATAATTTAGAATGATTAAAAATATATAATTGCAAATGTAAGATAAATATGTATATGTGTTTCACCTGAGAAAGTATTCCAGCTGACTGTACAGGTATCTGATGAGGGAGCGACGTGCGATGATCTCAGCATGGCAGTCGTTAAGGGCCAGTCCTCGATCACTCATGTACTCACCATTTATACACTTGGTTCCTGTGGTGACGCAAATCACCTGAGCATCCTTCACATCTGTACCTGATAAAACGGTCAATGCGATTTAGCCAAATAGGACATGTTCCTGTTTCAACATTCCAGTCATAAGCATGCATTGTGCTTACCAGTTGTCATGACAACACCCGCAAGGACTTTCCGCCGTGCATGTGGAGACGTGAAGTTATCCGTCAGCTCACTGAACTTTTCCACAACTAAATGAGAGACGGCGTCTGCGAGGACCTGAGGAACCCACAACCATAACTGTACAAACATCTGTATACAATGCTTGCATGTCATTAAGCTAATCAGCAACAATTAAACTGCTAAAAGACTACAGCATTACGGAATAAACTCCAAGGACACATTGAATTGATGCTTTTAAAAAGAGAATATGTATCCATTTGAAAATGGCTGGCAAAATGGCAAATGCTCGAATACAAAAGAAATGAACTGCTTGACTGACACAGACCTTTTACTGAAAGATCTCTTTAGACAGAGAGGTGAGAGCGATGTGTTTTCCTGTTTGAGAAGTGCTTCTGTATCTGATTTTAATTAAGATTCTGTTTATTCTCTTCGGTTGTTATCAAGGGGGAATGGGAGGGATTATGAACAGGATTAACTAATGTGTAAATAATGCTGTGTACACTGGAGCACCGATTAAAAGTTTAATGCTTGAGTTCATTTGAAATCCAACTGAAACGTTCGTGTGTAGGTTCTGATTTAATTAAAATTGTTAAATGAAGACTGGCAGAAGCTTTATAAAGGACAAATTATGGTTAAGCAAAGCTACCGAAGCATGGCATTTAATCGCATTAAAATTGCTTTTTCAATATCAAGCTTGATAAAATACAAGACAGAAGTCCTATGTATGGGGTCGTAAAGAAATGAAATGAATTCATTTATAGCGTAATCAGTTACGTTCATCGTAGTCTAAACTTACCCCACCATGAGGCAATGATCACTTACACAATGGCACCCAGTGTTAACTTTCTGGGGAAAAAATTTAGACCATTGGGGAAAAAAATTATGGGGTACACATTTCTCACCTGAGGCAGGTGTAGCTGAAGTCCCTCTCTTGGGATTGGTTGTCGGGATGGCGTCTGGTCCAGTTGCATGTTAAAAAGTCCTGACAGAGCCGCTTGGGCCGCCCTCGCTTTCGCCAGCTTTTTATTCCGTCCGGAACCTTGGAACATCTGAGTATCTACAGTAACTGCCATTATAAAGTTCTTGGCATGGCTTTCACCGCTCTCAGCCACAAACTCATACTTCAGTCCAGGCCGAAGCTCATTTAGGATCATCACAGCATTTTTGCCACTGCCTGTAGGGGGCGTTGTGAGTGCAGGGGGTAGTGGGAGAGGACGTGACCTGTTGTTGTTTTTCAGCGCCACGGGCAAAGGGTATTCGTTTAAGGAGCAGAGAGACCCATTGCTGCCAAGACTCAAGTAGAAGGTGTCATCAGGCGGTGCGGGCGTCTCAAATCCATTAAATAGCATGTCTGGGAAATCTGCTTGATCTGAGGTGAAGTCTGCGTTAACAGTCAGCGTGCGGCCCATCGCGAGATGAGCTTCGGATGCATTGGGAAACTGAACGAAAGAGCGCATTGCTTTTTCGGCCGCATTCAGTTTGGCTTTCTTCTTCGTTGGGCCTGAGCCCTCAAATAACTGTCCGTTAACCTCAACGGTCATGATGAACACGGGTGCATGTACTGGCCCCGTCTGAGACAGAAGTTTGTACTGCAGTCCTGGTTTGATTTCGTTCAGTTGCATGAGAGCATTTTTTGGCAAGACTGGCCCTTGTGGTTTTCTGCGCTTCTTGGGCCGGAATTTGGAATGCCCGTGGCCTTTGTTGCCCTCCTCCAGAGGGCGTTTCCTGCTCAATCCCCGAGCGTTTCCATTAGCTAAGTGAGGCCCCTCCCCCAGCACTTCTTTGGAGGAGAGGTTGTCCAGGTTGCGGTTTTCTTTAACGTCCACGCTACACGAACCTGTGATGTCCAGAGAGAGTAACTTACAATGCCTTCCATGCAGGACCTTGTAAATGTAAAATTTAGAGATTCTTTCATCTCTCTTTGTAACTGGATTGAATGATACCATCCTAAAAGCAGGTTTAGTCTAAAACATTTAACATTAAGACAATACTAATATGCCTTTCAGAAGAATTTTTTAGATATGACACTTAGATTGAGGGCAAATTGCCTTGTTAACATAAAATGTGTACACCAAACTTGCAGCACATAAACTCTTTATTTCCATTATTTAAATATTTATATAATTTCCAGTAGAAAATTCTCTCTCAAAAATATCTAAATTTTCATAGGAATCCAGATTTTTTCCCCCCAAATATTTTTTTACTATATTACTAAATACAGTATGGCATTGTTCACCCCTAAAGAACAACTGCAAACTACCAAAACAAAGAACATCATATCAACCAGTTGCCAAAGCTGATGGAAATGAGTGTAAATTCTCATTTATAACATCCTGCAGTAAAAGCTTGACAAGTTACTCCATTTGGTGCTCAGGAAATCTAAATTAAAAGAGAGAGAACAGACAGACAGAAACAACTGATATAGAAAGTGCTACCAGAAAATCAATCTCAGATGTCAGTTTGGGGAAGGTTTAGACAGTGGAGGGATCCTGATCAAATATTAAATCAATGACAGAAAAAAAAAAGAGAAATCAACTGAAAGGATTGGAAGTTAAGAGGTATAGGAATCAATGGACAATCTTAGGGTACAACCCCATCTCCTTACCTTCAATACCTTGTTTGCAACCTTTAATACAGATGAAAGTAAAAGGCAGTAAACAAGGGGATAAAAACAAAACACAAACACCACACGGTGACCACACATGATTCTTCATAAGGGGCTTTCAATCAGTTCTAGGAACTAGCCAGCAGGGTGGTTCCTAGAGAACCAATTTCTCTCTCTGGCCATTTTCCTGGTTGCATTTATATCAGGACCTTTGAAGCGGCCGACAGCGACGTCTTCATTTGCTGCATTTACAAACGTCAACAACAGGTGAATGAAAGACGCCATGATCGGAGCTGTTATTTTGTTTTGTGTCGTGGGCTTTGTGATAACGGAGATGGAATGTAAATGCACAATTTACGCAATTGAAAGAGCATGAAAATCCTACTAAATCTCATATGACTACTTGCAGTGTTACATATCATCAAGGCTGAGAAAAGAACAACGCTGCAGACAACAGGTAAATGCCGTTATCGCTGTTTTCCATGTTCGTGGAGTAAATTAGAGGTCGACCGATGTATAGGTTTTGACGATTAATCGGCACCGATAGTTGATTGCTGGAACTATCGGTTATCGGCAAAAATCCATGCAGATAGTTTTCCGGGTTGCGTCCATTGCTGGAACGGCTGAAAAGGGTCTGCTGTCATTATACAGTGCAAGAGCGGCCTCTAGTGGTTGAAATCACTGACAGCACGTGCTATTTGTTTAGACACGTGATACTGCACGCTGAACAGAGCGGGAAACTTCAGACGCGGATTTAAATGCAGCCGACAGAAAATCCTGCCATAAATCGGTATCGGCCAGTGTGGTCCAACCTAGCTATCGGTATCGGCAAAATCCACTATTGGTCGACCTCTAGAGTAAATATATGTTTACTTGGCTTGTCAAAAATGCCAGGTAGCCGGTGCTTTGTATGCATTTGGCCAATCAGCATACTCGTACGTCAGTTCCTATACTAGTACTGTTTTAGACCCTACTCTGAAGTAGAAGCTAATTTAGTTCCCTAAATACGTTCCTTGTTCCTGTGGTTCCTAGTTCCACCAAAAAGCGTATTTTCGCCAATAGTTCTATGAACTATGAAAAGGTTCCTCCAGTGCAAAAGCCCCTATATAGTACAGAAAGTTTACTTCAAACATTGGCAAACATTCAGTAACAGAGTTAAAGATAGGCCTTCATCATAGAAATGAACGATACAGAACATAACCTGCAACCTGAAATAATGCTTCAAAACTCCACACAGGTGTTGTGTTGGAGTGTGAGAGTTTATAATCCTCACCAGACTGAATCATCACACTCCAATTTCAGAGTTGCCAACAACCTTTATTTTTCCTCTGCGCTGCCTGTCTACAAATTGTCCTCCTGGGCACGGTGTTAACTTCCTGACCATGCCCCCTATAGACTGAGGATACTGTGGATTGTGCACTAGCTCAAAGGCAACAATCAAGTGGAAAATATGTAACAGGATCTCACTGATAAGGTGGGAAAAAAACAGAAGTGAGCAGAATTCAAGGGCTGTCACTATTTGTGTACATCTGCTATTCTGTTGCAGATTCCCGGATTCTTTTAGAGCTTTCAGGTACCCTCTTTTTTAATCATCTATATCAGTTAACTGCAAAAAATGACAATGACGCTCCTAATAATAATGCGACACTGCAGTTTTTGGAGTATAAAGGCTATCACATCAGCAACAAAACAATGCATATGTAGAATTTGCTAAGGAAGGAAGGAACCGCTTGTAAAAATGGCTTAGAGTACCTAATACACACACACACACAAACACACAAAACGCAATAAAGATGAAGTATGGATTTTCCTCAGGAGGTCAAACGTACTTTCTTCAACCATTGAAATCTTTTCATCTGCTCTGAATTTAGGATTAGCGTTAAACAGAGAGAAATATTTGACTAGGTCGTGAGGATAAGTCTTCCAATCTTCCACTTTCAAACAAATGGCCAATTTTTTGGCACCTTTTAATAATGCAAAAATCAGAACATTGTTAAAACTGAAATGTCTTTTGTTGAATTTCCAAAGAGATGGAGGTAGATATGGAAAAATGATAAAACACTCACTCATGTGTTTTTCTTCATCCACATCCAGACTGCAGAACTTCTGCTGCCCTCTGGGCCGCCCACCGGCTCCTACTGCAGAGAAACCAAGGGAAGGACATTTAAAATTCATCTCCAATCATGATTTCTGCTTACTGAAGTCATCTGTTCCCACTTACACCCTCTGCCTGCTCCCTTAATGAGGCTAATTAACCAGCTTTAATGACGGGAGACAACTAATGTGCAGGTGCAATTATTGCTCAATTAAATGCTAACATTCCCCTAATGAATCAGTGAAAGAGACAGGCAGAGCACGCGTTGAGAAAACAGTCACTTCTAGCACTCATGCCTCAGCTCGAGTGAGAACTGAAAAAACTTTAGAGGAATTAAACGTCGGTTGGGGTGGAGCAGTTCTGTTTATTGGATCCAATACCTGAACATACTTAAAAACTGAGGTCATGCCAGTTAGAAACGCCATCAAAAAGGAAAGATGAATAGCAAAAAATATTTTACAGTCATTCATTCTCATGCTTTGCCACACCTTTTGAAACCAATATTGGCAGAAACAAAATAACTGAATCCAAAGGCAGGGAGATATGGAAGCTTCTATACGGATAGGCTTGAACGAGGACACGGCCGTCAAGACGAGACTTTGAAGGGGCCGAGTGAAGTGGATACAGTCGATAAGAGACTCCATGATAAACAAGCCTGAGAAGCTCGATAAATCACGAAAGCTATTAAAGCGAGTGACGCACGCAGGCACTTCAACAGAAGCTTTTTAAAGCCGATATATTGACGCTCTAGACATAAACACCATTTTATTTCCTGTCATCTCAACTTTTCAATCTTTCCGAAATGTCCCATTTGATGCCGGACTGAGCTGAGAAGATGTCTTAGGTGAACAAACACGAAATCAAAATGCCTTCCCTCTTAGAAACCATTATGAATGCAAGAACTGGAAAATAAGGTGTCGGGAGTTGGATAAAATCACATATTCTGAATGCGAAATCTGTCCACATTTCACTCAGAGATAAGTGCACCTGCTCGTTGATGGCGATCACCGATTGATGTTGACGACGGTAAAATGCCATAAAAGTAGGGCGTGAAAATGAAAGCCGTGGGATAATAGGAGGCATTTCTCACAGTGTGACGCCTGACACATTAGTGAGCGTTATTGATAAATTAACCGACATCACTCACCATTCAACATCTGCTTTTATAAACGAGAACAAGCAGACAGATCATCCTCACGGGATTGTTTTCATCTTATATTAATTGTCTTTTTTACTTGACCACAGTTTTTCTTTGCATTTTGAACTACAACCTTGCTTGTGACTCTAAAACTTAACTTTGGGCTTGAACTCTTAAACCTCGCCGTTCTTAAAGTTACAAAAATAAAAACACTTGGCTCTCTTAACGGAGCATTTAAGATGTCAGCTATCAGCTCAAGGCATTTTTAAGTTGAAATGACATCACATACACTGTTAGCGTGTTGGAAACTGCATTTGGTGCTTTAAAACAGCACGGGACGGTGCATTAAATGCCACACTTGTTCAGCACCATGGAGAGCTGCGAACTAAGAAAGATGAATTCAGGACCACGGAGAGCAGACGGATTAGAATGCACAGCGGGTCTTTCTGAGTGAAGGGTAGATGTACAATCATAAGACGCAGCCTGAACGCAGGCAATAGCTCAGCTCTACGATCCTCCAGCTCATCAGGAAACACTATTGGAGTGAGAGAGACCAAAGGGAGAGCTATAGAAATGCAGAAAGAGATCTGGACAGAGAAAGGTGTGTGTGTTGGAGTGCAAGTGCTGTGCAGATAGAAAAAGACATTTGGCCTGATTCTTTCCAAGTGTCAGCTAAAGTAAAGAAACAAACTTTCTGTGTCAGCTTATAAGGTATTACGGTCCACAAGTACTACATGTTTTCTTGGATTAAAGGAAAGCGCAACTAACAGGGCTGTCGCCGAACAGAAATGCAAACTCATTCTTGCAGTCATCCTACCCCAAACATTGCTCTGTTTTAAAGGGATAGTTCCCCCAAAAATGAAAATTCTGTCGTTAATTACTCACCCTCATGTCGTTTCAAACCCGTAAAACATTAGTTTATCTTCAGAACACAAATTAAGATATTTTTGATGAAATCCGAGAGCTTTGTGACCCTGCATAGAGAGCAACGCAACTGACACTTTCAAGACCAAGAAAGGTAGCAAGGGCATCGTTAAAATAGTCCATGTGACATCAGTGGTTCAACCGTAATGTTATGAAGCTACGAGAATACTTTTTGTGCGCAAAGAAAACAAAAATAACAACTTCATTCAACGATTTTTTCTTTTCCGTGTCAGTCTTCGACACACATTCACAAGAGTACCAAGACGCATGGACTATTTTAATGATGTCTTTACTACCTTTTCTGGCCTTGAACGTGTCAGTTGTGTTGCTCTCTACGCAGGGCTAGAAAGCTCTCGGATTTTACCAAAAATATCATAATTTGTGTTCTGAAGATGAACGAAGGTTTCACGGCTTTGGCACGACATGAGGGTGAGTAATTAACAACAGAATTTTTATTTTTGGGTAAACTATTCCTTTAAGATCCTGATCTGTCCAACAGGGGCTCAACCAATGGTGTGAGTTTGGGGCGTGGTTTCTGTTGGACTGACCAATAAAAGACAATGATAGTGTTCAGAAAACCTGTTTGAAAACAATCATTTCTTTTCCATTTGGTCACACTAGTGAGACTTCAAATCAACAGTACAAGATATTTTACAACGACCGAGGTGACTGAACATTTGTATAGACATTTTAAAGTCTTAGAAAAGGGTTTCGTTTCATTTTTAAAGAGCAGTTTTATGGCCTGAGCTTTTTTAAACAATAAAATGCATTAAAATTAGTGCTGTCAAATGATTAATCGCGATTAATCGCATCCAAAATAAAAGTTTTTGTTTACATAATATATGTGTGTGTACTGTGTATATTTATTATGTATATATAAATACACACGCATACAGTATATATTTTGAAAATATTTACGTGTATATATTTATATTCATATAATTTATATATAATATATATTTAATATATAAACATAACATATTTTTCTTAAATATATAGAAAGTCAGTCATACAGGTTTGGAGCAACATGAGGGTGAGTAAACAGCATTATTTTTTATTTTTGTTTGAACTAGAAGCAAACTTTTAAAAATGTGAAAAGCCCCCATTATTCCTAACACATGAAGGAACAAACACAGGTGCCACTGATGCTACGGGTGAGAACAGGTGCGACAGATAACACACTTTATCAGCAAAGCTCCAGACCAGACCACATGCCACAGAGACGGATCTATCGCCGAGTCCATCAGAAGGAAAAAAAAAAAGGGAGAGCGAGTGAAAGTGAGAGGAGACGACAGGTGGGCTGGACACGGTCTCGGTTTCGGCTGGACAAACCTGAACCGCTTGAGCTAACGCTGAATTTATTCCCCCCTCCAGTAGATTAAACTCACAGTCCGTCCCTCAGGACTTCACTCCACTACACTTGGTCTGGAGGAAATGGGTTTTTTTATCTCCATGTTTGAGCATGAGAGACGATGGCACAGGGTGTAGAAACGCTTAAGTAACCATGTTTATCTAATTTGCTGTGCCCCATTTCTGTTCAAAATTCAATATTTTCAAGCAGGCATCCAAAAGGAAACAATTTGGCATTTTTTTGAGTATATTTTCACCCAGCTGATGCCAGAAAGTTTCTAATCCTTGCTTGGGGATTATTTATCACTGCAGAATTATTCCTAGACAGCAGTCAACTGAAAGAAAGAAAGAAAGAAAGAAAGAAAATAAGCTGTTTTCTGAACTTAATTTATAATAAATGTATTTACTAATCTAATTATTTTTTATAACCAGAATATAAATATATACTAAACGCAATATATAAATATATTACTATATACAATAAATATTAATTTCCTTTGCAAAAATTTGCATTACACTTATCAATTCGATTGGCCTTTAGAACAAAAAAAAAAAGAAGTAAATACTGAAATATGAAACATGTCATATTTTTATGTCATAAACAGGCTTTGTTTTCTACTAAATGAATCATTAACAGAATTGTTAAGGTTGTTTAAAGGAATCAATCTACAATAAAAATAAGATAAATAGTGTAAATATAATAATATAATAATAAATATGAATGATTTATTGTGATATATTATTTATTATTATAAACCATTAATAAAATACTAATAATAAATATGAATATTTACTAATACTAATACTAAAATATATAGTTATTTTTATATTTATAATTAAATTTTTATATATTTATATATTTTTATATTATTATATGTACATTTATTATTATTATTATTTACACTGCTTAATAACACCTGATCAACTAGAAAGCTGCAAACTGAATTCCTCGACCACAGAGGTTGGCCATTATAAAGGGGATTATGGGAACAAAGGCAAGATCATACCAAGAGGGAAGGTTTGTATTATATTTAAACAGTTGCTTATCAAGATCTCCATCCAGGAATCTTAAAGAGACTGTGAGCTACAAATTAGCAGGGAAGCCATGCCTCCATCAGAGCATCACGAATCTGCTGAAGTGACGGGGAATTAAAAGGTTATCTGTTCACTAAACAAGTGAATGATAAAATCTGTTATCTGAACACTAACTCTCTATTGCTCATGTTTGCTGGACTGGATTGGCGGCGTAACCATGGTGAGAGATTAGCGGCGTGAAGTGGCCGTTCTAATGAGACGGATTAAACTTCACACATGAGGAGCTGTCTGAATTGAACCTGCTATCTGCTGCCTTCAGCACCGACAGCACACGCTCAAAGAGAGAGAGAAACAGTACGAGCCTCAAGTCGCACACGAAAATAACGGCTGATAGCTGTAACACAGCAGGCAGAAATAACGTAAGAACTAGTACAGTATGTAAGAGGGCAGCAACGCCAGTCTGAGACACCATATTGTCACTGACAGCAACAACAGCTTTCTCAACTTCAAACACCCTTTTGTCCAATGGATTTCCAAGACTTTTCCATTCGAATTTCCAATTTTTCATTCCATTCGATTATTAAAGAGTTTTTTTATTTATTTAATTAATAAAAAATAAATAAAAGGCATTTTTAATTTAATTTATAAATCATTTTATTAAAATGTATTAAAAATCTATAATATAAAATAAAAATATTATATATATACACACACACACACACATATATACTTTTTAATACAATTTTAATAAAATTCAATTGAATTTAAATTAAAAAATATGATTTCATTTAAAAGACATTTCATTAAATACATAATTATATAAATGTAAATTAAATACACTTTTTTTATGACACCATTTACCTTGCATTATCAACATGCAATTGAAGATTAATATCTGTAGTTCATCAATTTATATTATTATTAATCACTTTTAATTAAATTTAAATAGAATTTAATTTAAATTCAACTTCTCATTGAAATAAGTTTATAATAACGAAATAACGTTTATTATACTTACTAAAGTGTAAATAAAATATGTATTAATTCAATTAAATGATTTTTTTATTAATTTATTATAAAATTTAAAATAAATTAAATAAATACAATTAAATACATTTACATGAAATATATATTTCTATTAAATCAAAAGGTAAATAATAAACATTTTATTATTTTAAACATTTTAATTCCAATTAAAAACGGCATTTTTATTAATTTTATTATAACAATTAATTAAAAAACATGATTTTTTTTTCATCACATAAAATTAAATACATTTAAATTAACATTAAACATTTAAATTAAATATAATTTTGTTAAATTAAAATGTAAATAAATATTTTATATAAGGAAAAATTGACTTCTTAATGGCTAAGACTGAAATGAATGTACTTTAATTTAATAGAAATTTCAATTTAATATAACAATTTTCATGGTAGTTGAAACCAAGTTTTATTTGCGTTGTTATTGATGCTGATATAAAGTGTCAGAAATAAAACTAACAAACACGCCACAAAACAGAAATCAAGTACACTCAACTCTAAATGTTATGTTTGCTGCGCATTATTAACAAAAGAAAAACTCAATTTAAGATTACATCATTTATATATACACTCTTAAAAATAAAGGTGCTTCACGATGCCATAGAAGAACCTTTTTATCTACCTTTAACATCTGAAGAACCTTTCTGTTTCACAAAAGGTTCTTTGTGGCGAAAGAAGGTTCTTCAGATTACAAAAAGGGAAAAAAGAGATGGTTCTGTAAAGTACCTTTGACTGAATGGTTCTTTGTGGAACCAAAAATGGTTCTTCTATGGCATCGCTTGAAGAACCTTTTAAGCACCTTTATTTTGAATGTTCAGCTCTTTCAAGATTCCGAAACATTTTCAGGTTTTCCAAGATTGTAAACCTTGATGAACTATATACTGGCGTTGATAAATCACAAATAAAAGCATACTAATACTACCACACAATTTGCGCAAACAGAAGTTAAATATACTCAAAATACCAAAAAGTCAATAAATCATTTAGAGGATTTTTTGTAGATTCCAGTTTTATGTAGTTCAAACAATTAAACAAACAAATGAAAATTAGAAAAACAAGTGTCAAACAAAAGGCAAACGTTTACGTAAACAAACATTTGCGATTACATGTTTACGATTAAACGTTTACACAAATGTTTGAACATTTAGGGAAGAACTTTGATCCAGAGCGACTCAAAGTGATTTAGATTTAATGTGCAAATAAAAACGGTTTACCTTTGCGTTCGGATCGTTTTTTGCGTCTTCTCTTGAACCTCCTGCGAACGAGGCAGTAATACGCGCCCATGCTTTGAGAGCAGCTCTGACTCTGAGCCATACCGCCGTACGCTAACCGTAAACACGATCTCTGTCTCTGAAGTCAACTTCGACAGGAGTGAGGGTGAGACGGAGGGAGCGAGAGGGAGGAGTGCTGTGGAGAGGGAGGGCTGAGGGTGGGGTATAACCTGCTGTGAACTCTGCTGCTCATGTTACTGTCGTTTCACACGTCTGAAACCAGCTTCGGCTTTTTCTTTAGTCAAATGCTTACAGAACAGCATTTAACTTACAGTTATCAACACAGAGCTGAACACTAATACCTACTGTTTGCCAATTCTTATTATTAATAGTCAACTTCTTACTACATTTATATAGTTAATTACATATCATTTAAATCAATTAAAATCTCAAAGTAAGATTAAGTATTAAATGTGATTTGAATTTTACTTTTAAATAAATATTTATATATACTTAAGTTAAAAGCAATATTTAGAGCACCATCGTATCAACATGCAACTAAACACTATTCTTATTATTAATAGTTACCTTTATTTGTTCAGTTCAAAGAAAATGAGTTCAATTTCATTTAAAATACTTAAGAATTGTATTTAATTGTACTTAATTTACCTGACATTATTAACATGTAGCTTAAGACAAATATCTGTTGTTCACCAATTCTTCTTCGTAGTCACTTTTTTTAATCAATTGAGATACAATTTTATTGAAATAAATTAAAATCCTCATTGTAATAAAGTTAAATAAACAAATTAATTGAAAATGGCATTAATTAAATTAAAGTATCATTATATTAAAATAGAAAATTATTTATTTATTATTTATTATAAATTATAACATATATTCAATAAAAATAAATGAATTTAAAATAACTATTTTATTAAATCAAAATGTAAATAATAAATATTTCATTATTTACATTTTAATTAAATTACAATTGCATTTATTTTAATTAAATTTATTATGAAATTAATAAAAATGAATTCGATACCGTTTTTCATTACATACAATTAAATAAACTTAAATTAACATTAAACACATTTAAATTAAATGTATTTAATGTTTAAGTTTAAATAATTTTTGTTCAATTAAAATGCTAATAAATATTTAATTATTTAGACATATTATGCCCCTTTTTACAATATGTAATATAAGTCTCTGGTGTCCCTAGAATGTGTCTGTGAAGTTTCAGCTCAAAATACTCCACAGATCATTTATTATATAATTTTGAAAATGCTTATTTTGAGTGGAAGCCGAAACAACGCTGTTTTTCGGGCCTGTCTCTTTAAATGCAAATAAGCTGCTGCTCCCCGCCCCCTTTTCCAGAATAGAGCTGCGCCATTACAGCTCGTACCTGCTAAAAACATCTGTTAAAAACATTCCTGTTCTGATTATCATGTTTATCGCGCTGAAATCATGCGTTTTAAACCATGTGAGTTTAATCTTCTGATATACGGTTTTCTGAGTGCACACATCCGAAGCACACGGACAGAAAGCGGCCACCAGACAGCATGTGAGTACTAAACTAAGTTCACATTAGCACGTTTATGATAAAGAATATCTCTTTGGTTTTGAGACTTTAGTCTTTGCAACTTTAGGGATCTTATCTATGCACAATCAGCTTGTAACACTCCAAAGAGAAAGGAAAACTTGAAATCCCATCATATGACCCCTTTAAAACCTGAAAAACTCAGATTTTCATGATATGTCTGTCACCTTTAACACATTTTTTATTAATTAACTACTTTTAAATCATTTTAATTCAACAAAAATGGTACTGAATTTATTAATTTTATTATAAAATATAAACTTTTATATAAAGTTACAAAACATTGTATTTGACCAAAAATGATATTTGAGCGAACAAGTGGAAAACTTGAAATCGCATCATATGACCCCTTTAAAACCTGAAAAACTCAGATTTTCATGATATGTCACCTTTAACACATTTTTAATTAATTAACTACTTTTAAATCATTTTAATTCAACAAAAATGGTACTGAATTTATTAATTTTATTATAAAATATAAACTTTTATATAAAGTTACAAAACATTGTATTTGACCAAAAATGATATTTGAGCGAACAAGTTATTAACCTTTTAATTCGGCAGTACATAGTGACCTCCTTTTTCACACACACACTTCACCTCACAATCACACATGGCTTCAGTCCCATAATTCACTCCTAAAAACTTAAACACAAAACAAGTGTTCTTATACTAATATCTGAAGGTTCTTGCAATTACGGTTACATAATTCAGTTTCTGATGTGCACATGTAAACAAAGCACATTAAAAATTCCACCCACAGATACATTTTGAGGCAAAAGGAGAGCAAGAGGTGAAGTCAGAGGCCATACATACTGTGATTAGCAAACCTCTGCCTCCCTCTGCTGGACATTACACCACAGTTACTGTACCATCACCCAACTCACCAACAAATGCTAATAATCAGTAATCAGAGCAGCAGATTACTATACATTTGCAAATGAAGCTATATATGTGAAACCCACCTGTTTGTTTAGCCTCCTTTTCTTTACAAGCCTTACAGCGAGTTTTGAGACCTGTAACAAAAGAACAGAGATATCAGCGTTTACATATTTACAGCAGACACAAGACAATCAGCTGGTAAATATCTTTACTGTAAATGACAGATCTTATAAAGGACCAAACCTGCAGTTAATCAATAAAATAAATAATTATAAGAACAAAAAATAGATACTGAATGAATATAATAATACAAAATATGTATATAATAAAAAAAAAACATTTAAGTATTTTAGTTTATTCCCATGTTTTGCAGTCTCTTATTTATATTATCCCATTTAAGCATTTAATTTATAAATTATAGAAAAACAACAAATATTTTAAAATTAAAATAATAAAGATAATAAGTAATACAAAATATGGAAATAAACTAAAATAAAACATCACTTTTTTATATTTTAGTTTATTCCCATAATTTCCATTCCTTTATTTAATAATTATCCTATTTATGCATTTAATTTATAAATGATGGAAAAATAAATGTAAAAACAAGAATCTAAATAATAAAGTAATGCAAAATATGAAAATTAACTAAAATAAAACATCAAAACATTTATTCCCATATTTTGCATTCATTTATTTATGAACTATCCAATACATTTAATTAATAAATGATGGGAAAACAAAATAAATATTAAAAAAATAAAATAAAGACAATAAGTGAAGTAATACAAAACACGGAAATAAACTAACATAAAACATCACATTTTTATATTTTCGTTTTATCACATATTTTCCATTCCTTTATTGAATAATTATCTTATATATGCATTTAGTTTATAAATTATGGAAAAGTAAATGTAAAAAAAATAATAATAATAAAATAAAAAAGTAATACAAAATATGAAAATAAAAATAAATCATTTTAGTTTATTCCCATATTTTGCATTAATTTATTTATTAACTATCCTGTACATTTAATTAATAAATTATGGGGGGGGAAATAATAATAATACAAACTCGAAGGAATAGAAAACATGTAAATCAATCAAATTCAGGACTAAATTTAAGATGTAGTTTACATGTGTTGATCAAACAGCATCTCTGCTCCTGACACGCAGTAGCTAAAAGCTGCCAGAAGACGGCGCTGTAAACTCAGTGTAAACACAAGGTGAACTTCCCGCCAACTCAAACTCCTGTCAAATCAGTCAGAACATTTATAGAGCTGCGATGCTATTTAAGGAAAAGACACACAAATAAACAGACACACCTAAAGCAAACAACATATCATCATAAACATTGTGCCTTTGCATTCTGTACGACAAAATTTATCACAGAATACCGAACTCTTTCCATTTTTGCAAAGTCACGCTATGAAGCTCCGCCCACCGCAAAATCTTATTGGTTAAAAATCCCGCTCCTCATTTTAATTGCGTCACGCTGCATTTTGCTTTCAACGTGAACACATTTGACATTTCAGTCAATAAACTTTAAGCTGATTTACCTTCAAAAACGCATGCATTTGATTGCCACGTTATTTTAAATAAGATATTATCAGTCAAATATGTAGCTAGGTAAACAAAAACAAAAAAGTTTGTAAAAGGAGGATTATTAACTGAATAAGTGCTATTTTGGAATTCTTCGTGACTTGAGGTGAATCAGAGAAGAAGAAAACCTCAAAAAAGCTTCAGGTATGATGTGCTGTTGTTTGACACTGCAGATTTGCTTTGTAAAGGATCCAGGATGATCTTGTGTAATCATGTCAGACCTAAAATAAGAACATCCACTGCCTTAACATCATGTATGTGCATTTTGTGTTGGGCTTCATTGTCCTGAACGGGAACTGAAGTCCTAAACTGTCTCTTTTTCATTCAGACAGTCATCTGCATGTGGAGCAGACATTAAAAGTGAACTGAAAAACGACTGATATGAAAAAACGCCCGTCACAGCCAACACAAACTGCTATTAGAGAAAACTGGACGTGGAAAAGAGACATTTGAAGGGGTCCTATTATGCTTTTTCACTTTTTGAATCTTAGTCAAGTGTGTAGTGTGTATGTTTGGGCTTAAAAAAGATCTTCAAACTTACAAATCTCAAAGTCCACTCCAAAGGGAGATATTTCGTTTTAAAAAAATCCCTTTTCAAGAACTACAACGAACGGCTCGTTTGGACTACAGCGTTTGTTTTCCGGGTTTTGTGATGTCACAGAGCATAATAGGACCCCTTTAAAGTAAGACTATTAAGTTACTTTAACTAACACCATATTAGGAGGGCTGAAAACCGGAGCTAGCAAACATCTTGAAGAAAGAGTTAAAAACTCACACACAATAAACCAGCACCTGCTGTGAAAAGAGCCCACATGTGTGAACACAAATACAAGCCCTGACATGACATTACCATTGACTGAATAAAGGACACATAAAACCATGCCTGCCGAATTGTGCTGAAATTCGTTGTTCTTTTGAAACATTGGTAAAAGCTAAATGTTGAGTGTTATGAAATGTTAAAAGTGAGTTTAAGCAGTTAATAAACAGCTACTGGTCTCTTATTCAACAATA